AGGGCCCTGATGATGCTGTTGGTAGAAGAGTTCTTATTCCCACAGCAGAGCTCTGCCTTAGCCCCCTTCTCAGTGAGACATTCTGGGTTTTTTTATAGAAGAAAGGTGGAGGTGGGGTAGTCCAGAGTTATGATTTCATCCATAAGAAGGATCCCCAGTGTGGGGTACTTCCTCTGTCAATGTAGATCAGCATTTCATCAGTAACATATGTTTTTTTGTTCAGTTGTTTCCAACTCTTCATGGATTTTCTTGGCAAATATACTGCAGTAGTTTGCTATTTCCTTTGCCAGCCCATTTGACAGATGAGGAAACTGAGTGACTTGCCCAGGGTCACACAGCTAGCCAGTATCTGCAGCCAGATTTGAACTCAGACAGATAAGTCTTTCTGAATCTAGACCTGGCACTCTATCCCCCTAGCTATTCCTATCAGTAACTTAGTGTTAGGTACTTGCTTTGTATAATAGCTTAAGGGATTTGCCCAGTGTGGTCACATAACAACGTGTATCAGGGCAGGATTTGAACCCAGGTCCTCCTGACTCCAAAGTTGGCCCTCCTCTCAATGATTCCGCTTCTCTTGATAAAGAGTCTGTTTTTAGCTGTGGTTTTCCCGCAAGTCAAAAAGAAACCCTAAGAAAAGTATACCCTTATTGGGCAAAGACTAGGGGCAGAAGGGCAGCAAGACACAAGTATTTCAGGAAGAGATTTTCCTCCAATTTCAATATCCATTCATTCATTCACTCAACAAACATTTATTAAACCTATACTGTCTGTTGAGCATTGTGCTAAGCCCTGGGGAGGTGCACAGTTAAGGAAAGACATGTCTGCTGCTCTCATAGAGTTTACAGACGAGTAGATGAATAAGATGGCTGCCCAGACTGTGATGTACAAAAATATATAGAGCCCCAGTGGGGCAGCTAGGTGGTCCAGTGGATAGATCAGGAACACCTGAGTTCAAATTTGACCTCAGATACTTGCTAGCTTACTGTGTGATCTCAGACACTTAAGTTATGATGTTGGGTGCTTACTGTGTGATCTTGGGCAAGTCACTTAACCTCTGTTTGCCTCAGTTTCTGCAAATGTAAAATAAGAATAATAATAGCACCTACCTCACAAGGTGTGGTATAGACCAGGGTTGTTGTAGAGATCAAATGAGACAATAGTTGTAAAGTCTTAGCACAGTGCCTGGCACAGATATGTTGCTATAAAATGTTATTATTATTATTATTATTATTAGAAAGAAAATCACTTTAATGATCTTGCATCTTAGTACAGTACTCTGTCCTCTGCTTCTTTAAACTCTAACCCATGACTGTTAGATATTGAGATGACCATTGCTGCAACTCATTTTTCTTCATCACCAAAAAGTAGACAACGTCTCCATCTACACAGATTTTTAATTTTCAAAGCTCAGAAGGAGAACTGGCTTCTCCATGAATCCTTTCCTAATCGCAGCCCCCAGAAACCTCTCCCTCTCCAGACGCCTTTTTTATATTTATAGTCTACACCACACAATTAGCACTTGATTATATGTGACCTCCCTGTTGGGTGTAACTTTACCTGCCAAATACTTGTGTGTGCTTCCAACACCTTAGCCAGGGCCCTGAGCCGGGCTCAGAGAAGCTATTAAGGAGTTTGAAAAGTTCCCCTTCATTTCGACTTCACAAGGGATTTGCTCAAAAATAAAGCTGAATTTTTAACTCAGATAGTCAGCAAAACTTCTCCTGTTGAAGTCATCAGGCTGATGGTCATTGTCCCAAATCAATAGCTCAACAGACTAGTCGAGATGGAGGAAAAAGGAGTTCTGCAGGTTAACTTGGTGAGAAAAGTGTCACCGCTTCTGTACTCATTAAGAAGATTTAAACTTGCTTCATGTATAGAGGCAGCATCGTGGTGGTGGTGGGGAAAACAAGGTAGAAACAAAGGTCACTAAATTACAAATGAGGATCCCCACAGGCTGCATATTAATTTAGTTTTAAAATATAATATTATCGATATTTTATTATATTTTTAGTTATTTTGTTAAATATTTCCCAAGCACATTTTAATCTGGTTCAGGCACTCTGAAGTATTGCAGGCCACACGCCTCAGGGGGCTATGTGTTTGACCTCTGGGTCAAATATAGGGGATAGAGAGGCAGCCTTGAAGCCAGGAAGATCCGAGTTGAAGCCCTGACTCTGACACATACTGATTCTATGCTTTCCGTGTTGCTCAGAAATGGGGGGAAGGGGGAGGGAACTTACATTAGTAGAGAGAGTGTCCTCTTTTGAGAGCTCTGAATTTCAGTAAAATCAAAGATCCAGTCCCTATCCCTATCCTTCACAAACATCAATGATTATTAACCCTACCTGTTGTTGTTCAGTTGCATCTGACTCTTTGTGACCCCATTTGGGGTTTCCTTGGCAAAGATACTGGAGTGCTTTGCCATTTCCTGCTCCAGCTCATTTGACAGATGGGGAAACTGTGGCAAACAGGGGTAAGTGACTTGCCTGGGGTCACACAGCTAGTAAGTATCTGAGGCTGGATTTGAATGTAGGTCTTCCAGATTCCAGGCCTGATGTTCTATCCAGCCACCTAGCTGCCCCTACCACTACCTAGAGTAAGTTAAATTAATTGTGAGTGTGTGAATGCCATCGTGGATGGAGATTCAATTAAAAATCGGAAAACCTGAGCTCAAATGTTGACTCTGCTACTTACTATCTGTGGGATCATGCTTCCCCTCTCTAGGCCTCAGTTTCCTCCTCTGTAAAATGAATTAGATGATTGTCAATGTTCACTTCAACTCTGAAACAATGATCTGATAGATAGATATGGATAGATATACATATAGATATAGATATAGATACAGATACAGATACAGATACAGATACAGATACAGATATAGATATAGATATAGATATAGATATAGATATAGATATAGATATAGATATAGATACAGATTTTACACTTTTGGACCTACTTCAAGGGACTGGAGTTCTATGCCACTTCTCCAATAATAGACCCCTCTCCTGTGGGTCCAATACAGTCCAACTAGATTCAGTTCTGGAAAAGCATAGTAACTAATGAGAGTATAGCTCCATTTCCTCACACTCTTCGGCTTATTAAATACTGACCTTTGCTCCATAGTGAAAAAAATTAGTTTTGGGGGTTCATGCCAAAATATCTTCAAAGGGAGGAGTAAAAAGGAGCTCAGTGTACAATATGAATCAGATATGGGACAGGTATTTTATTCCTACACACACAAAAAAACATAAAAATTAAAAACTCATGGTGCAGAGTTTAAAAAACTATTCAGTAACTTAACTTAGAACTATTGTTACAATCTAATTAGAAGCTAATACTCAGACCTCATAAGAATATATAGCAATTTCCAGGGCTGCTGATTAACCATTTTATATTTCACCTTGACTCTGTACTATCCAAATAACTCCTGATACACATCTGCTAATAAAATGCCACATTTTAGCTAATCTTCTTTTCAATTTCACCCTCTTTGTTGAAGTTTTCCCTACTACTAGTCTGCTCCACTCATTGGACCTAGGTCCTCTAGACATCTCAAATTCATGAGGTCACTTCTGAGCCTAGACTCATCCACCTTAAAACTAATGTTAGCTCAACTATTCAGGAAAGGAAAGAAAAGGGCCCAGGTATAAACTTTCTTAGTTAAGACCATGTTCCATGTGGGATCTGCCATTGTGCAGGGGAAAAAGAACACAGCCCATTCCACCATCTTTCCATGGAGAGTGCATAAATACAGCATGTTACTTGCCACATGGAGGAATCCTAGTAAAAGAGACCAAACTGGAAGCTTTCTTTCCTTTCAAAAAATACACTGACTCATCTGTTCTTCTGCCTTGGCAGCCTGTAAGAGTATTGCTTCATAATTTCAAAGCTCCCACGTCCTTCAGCAAGGAGCTACCACCTGGACAGAAGCCAGGAAGTTCATCATCTCCAACACACACAGATACTGAGTCACTAAATCCCTGGAGTGCTGAGCAGTTTCCAGGGGACCTTTGGGTACACACCCCTTGGGATGATTGCTATGAACCAATTCAGACTCCACTGCACTCTTCCTTCAGTTAAATATTTGCTGTCCTTAGCAAATTGTCCAGGGAGCATTCTGAACATTTGTCCACAGTCCCATTCCTGGGATTCTGAGGAGACTCAAGCATTGTCACTACAAGTGCCTCCCACAGTTCCTTGTACT